CTGCCGAGCGCCGGGGGGCCTGCTGCTTCCTCCTCGGCATGCTGCTCGGGCCGCCGCAGCCGTCGCCTCAGCCGCCGCCCGAGTTCGCGGGGCGCGGGGTCCGGGGCCCCGGGCGCGGGCGCAACTCCGCGGCGCGCCCAACTTCGGCCTCGTCCCCGCGGGCTCCGGGCTCCGGGCGCGCCGCGGACCGCGGGGCGCCGCTCGCATGGACGGCCGCGCCCGGGGCCGCTCAGGAGGCGGCGGCGGCGGCCGCGCGGGCCGCGTCCCGGCCGCCGGGCTGCGGGCGGAGCGCGCGGGGCCTGGGCGCCGAGCCCGGAGTCATCCCCGGCGCGGGCCGCGGGCGCAGCGGCGGGCGCTCGGAGGGCCGGCCCGCGGCCCGCGCTCCATGCCGCCGCCGCGCTGCTGTGGCGGGCGCTGCCCCGCGCCTTCCTCCGCGAGCCGGGCGTCTCCGAGCGCAACTTTCTGCGCCCCTGTCTCCTCGCGGCTCGGGGGTCGCGGCGGGCGGCTTCAGTGCGCGGGTCGCAGCGTTCTCATTGTGCGCCAGCGAGGCCGATCCGGGCTGTCCGTTTCCTCCCGCACTTCGTCTAAGAGGAAGAAAGCAAACAAGACAGAGGAGTGAAGCCCCCGTACATACATGCGCCGGGTGGGGGGGCGGGGGGGGGTGTCAGGCGCTGCTCCACCTTCCGAACAGTCACAGATCAAACAGTGTCACCCCGCCGGAGCGCCACTTGCTGCCCCGCGCTCCCCGCGGGGCTTTGCCGCCGGGATCGCCGCTTCTTCCACCGCGAAATCTAATGCAAACACATTTGGATCATGGATTTTTGGCCGGTCTTGATCTTCCAACAGAAAAAAAAATTTTTTGAAAAATACACAAAAAAGCACCCCCCTCCAAAAAAAAAAAAAAAAAAAGCCAACAACAACAACCCGGAGAAGGTGTGCAGAGGGGCGACGAGCGCACATTCACTGGGTGGGCAGATGAGCGTGGACTGTCCCCCCCAAACTCCTGGGAGAGAGGGAGATGCACTCTCGCTCTCTTCTCTTTTCAGTGAAATATAACACACATTCGGATCGCAGAGCTTTCAGACAGTCTCAACTGATAGACAGACACATCGAGCCGCTTTTCCTGCTTCAGTTTTTACTCCTCCTCCTCTCGCCAACGTCACCCTGACAATTACAAATAGGTCTCTCACAAACCATACCTGTCAATCTTTTTAATTGCTTTGTTTTCTTTTTTTTTATTTCCTTTCCGGAGCTAAACAATATGACAAAAAAAAAAAAAAAGAAATCTTAATACAGTATAACATAAAAGATTGCACACTGGAGAAAGACATTGAGGGGTTTGTTATTGTAATCCACTGGCTGATACCGGGTAAAACCCATGTGTTATAAGCCAAGTTAAGGAGACGCTAGTTCCTGCAGATTTTTAAACCTGTAAATCCACCCCCCCCACCCCTTTGAACATTCATACACACGCACCCACGTGGACACAAAGTATCCTTGGATGAGAATGTCCTGTCCAACATTTGAGATAAAAATACCTGTGTCACTTTTGCAGTCTTAGTTTGGGGGGTTAGATTTGACTGGGGAGGGGCACTGTGTGGCTTTATCATTCGGGGAATTCTAGGTTAAGTGTAAAACAAGAGTGGGTCTTTTTAAATTAAAATGTATACCTTTAATAAAAATTTAAAGATGGACTCAGCTCATCATACAAAAATGTGGAAGATGCTCAGTTTGGTCCCACTATGAAAAGTGAATTGATTATTTGGTCAATATAGACAATTAGGGAGAGAATTGACATGATGGAACGGCAGATCCTTCTAGCTGGGTTATAAAATGAGGTCTTCGTACATAATTGCGACGTCTCCAGTTCAGTGAAGTCCTTCAGCATCCCCACCTAGAAGTTTAACATGCTTATGTGCTCTGGGAATTTGGCCTTCTAGTTTCCAATTTTTGTGTCCTTTCCCAATGGGAAACCTGTAACAGTCTTGTAGAGGCTACTTAAAACATTCATGGAAAAACACGAAATCTAGGTCAAAATAAATAAAATGGCTTAGTTCGTGCAACTTGCATGGGACAGGCTGAGGGCAGGGGGCGCGGGCAAGGCGTTCCGGGGACCGGGGGCCAGGAGCCTGGGGCGCAGGGTGCTCTGGGCACCCCCGCCCCGCGCTGGGTGCCTGCGCGCGCGCACCGGCGGCGGGGGCTCCCCGCGCGCCTCGGGGCCCCCGGCCGTGCCCCGCCGCCCCGGCCGCGCTCGGGGTTGATTCGTACCACCTTGCAAGGAAGTGAACGCTTCGCACGGGAAGGGGAGGCGCCTGCGCCGGCCGCCGGGCGCCGCGCCGCTCCGGGGACGCCCAGGGCTGCCGCGGGCTCAGGGCCGCGGCGACCGCGGGACGCGCGGCTCCCCTCGCCGCCCCCCTCACCCTTTTCGAGGAGTCAAATCCGGCTTTTGGAGCGTGGGGAGGGTGGGGATATCCGGCGCTTCCCGGACGCCGGGAGAAAGGGGGAGGGCGGAGAGGATCCTCGGCCAGTCTGCGCCGAGCAGATTCAAACCAAAACAAAAAGATTAAAGGAGCAGCGGCCCGGGCGGCCGCGATCCCCAGGCCGGGACCCCGGGGGTGGCGCGTCCGGGAACCGCGGGGGCCGCGCGGACCGCCGGCGCTGCGCGCGGCGGGGAGGGAGGGGGGAGCGGGAGCCAGTCGCGGTGGGGAAGGGGGAGGAGGCAGTCGAGGGGAGCACGCGGGCCGGAGGAGGGGCGGACCCGCCTGCTCCGCCTGCCCGCGCCGAGCCGCGCCGAGCCGAGCGGCCCGGGCGGGGCGCGACCCCGGCCCGCGGCGGCGCAGGGAGCGGGCAGAGGCGCGGGCCATGCTGAGGCTGGCGCCCGCCGGGGCCCGAACCATCGTGGACATGTCGTACGCCCGCCACTTCCTGGACTTCCAGGGCTCCAGCATCCCCCGCGCCATGCAGAAGCTGGTGGCGACCCGTCTGAGCCCCAACTTCCGCGAGGCTGTCACCCTGCGCCGGGACTGCCCGGTGCCACTCCCCGGGGACGGAGACCTCCTCGTCCGGAACCGGTGAGCCCGGCGCGCGCGCCCCCCGCCCCGGCCGGGCCCCGGCCCCGCCGCGCCGCCCCCGGGCCGTCCCGGGCCGGCCTGCGTCCCCGCAGTCCCGGGGCGCCCGGGCGCGCAGCCTGAGTTTGCGAGATCCCGGGAAGTTGGACCCGCCGCCATCTGGCGAAGGCGAACGTAACGTGACTGTTGCCGGTGTGAATATCCGATGCCTCGGAACGTCCTCATAACTGAGGGTTATTTTAATTTGGGATTCCCCTCCCCTCCCCCAGCCCTCCCTCCTCCCCCTCCCGCTCCCGAAATAAAACCGACGGGACCCAGAAGGGGAGGCTCCCCGCCCGGCCCACCCGCGCGCACCCACGACTCCTGCGTTCCCGTAATCTTTAGTGCGGACCAGGAACAGGCTGGACACAAACTGGGACCTTTAGGTAACGTGCTTTGGAGGAAGGAGGCCGAGGACCCGGCCGGCTGTCCCCGGGCGCTCCAGGTCGGCAGCCGCCTCGCAATGGCGGAGCCTGTCGTTGGGTGTGTTGGTGTGCACCTCGCCGGTGTCGTCTGCGTGTTGTCAGTGCTGCGTGGCTCTAGTCTGTGCCCCAGAGCCTCCCGGCGGGCGCGTGGCGCGGCCGGGGCGGCCGGGCCGGGGCTGGGGTGGGGGCACGGCGGCATTTGCCTGCGCATTTTGCAGACCTTCGGGTGGCACTCGAGTGGTCGCCCTGCCTTCTGGTCGCCTCTTCCGCCTCCACACTCCCTACCTTAATGTGTTTCCAGCTCACTAGTCTCTAGTAACTGGTGAGGCTCGGGAGGGAAGGAAGGGGACCTTACTCCGTGGGAGCCGTGCCCCTCGGTCTCTGTTGCAGGGTCCCCTCGCCGCCTGATTTGCGGGCGGGGCGCCCCCGTTCCGCTGGCCCCTACGCGGGAGCAGGACTCGCCGCCTGCTCAGCCCCATCCGAGGGCCACGGTGGTGCATGTGTCAGGCTGGATATGCCGTTGGAGGGCCGAGTGAGTTCTGACCGTAACTGCGTTGTTAACTGTGCCCCGGAAGGTCCTGTAAGCCACCTGCACGGAGTGAAGGGCAAAGGGTACCCCACCTACGTGGTCTGCTGCCACGTTTAGTCCGTTCAGCTTAGAGATTCCGGTCAGCCTTCCAAAGACTGCACGACTGAATGATTCTGGTCATGATATCAAACTTTTGGAAACCTGTTGGCAGTGTGAAAATTGAGGGAGCCGGGGGTGGGGCTGCGTGGAAGCTGGCTCGCGCTGGGGTGCAGAGGAAAGTGCGTCCTTCTAAAAGTTTCCATCGTGGGAACGAGGCTGCAGAGGGGTTCTTCACTGTGGGATAGAGCGCTACAGCTGTTGAGATGAGGCTGTGTGTCCCCCCAAGTTACAGAGAAGGACACGCGCACAGCACACCGGGCACACGAGTGATTTGCTGCACGCTGAGATGAGAGCCGGCCGGGAAGCCTCCAGGCTTTAACACGCGGAAAGTTTCACACGGGCTGTTTTCTTCTTCCTTTCTTGCGATTGTTCTCATCAGGTACACTGTGGACGGTGAGCACTTGTAGAACACACACCGCCGCTGGAATAAAATCCGTTTTAGAGACCGGGTGTGAAATGGGGAGGGGGGGGCCGAGCGGAGCGGGCAGGGGAAGGTGTGACGTTGGGGCCCTGCCGGCGCCACCCGCCTGCGCCGTCCGAGGAGGCTGCGCCCGCCGGCCTCGCCACCTGCGGCGCGCCCCTACCCCCGGGTGCGTCCTCCCTCCTGCGGCTGCTCCCCCTGCTCGCTCACCGCCCCCCTTCGCCGCCTCCTAAGGCGCCAGTGCCCCGGGCACCCCCTGCGCCGGCTCACCGGGGATGGTCCCTGAATTCCGTGGTCAGGGATCTGGAGCACCGGCTCCCACGCCTGGAGCTCATCGGTTTATATCGTTTTAGGACCCGTACGTCTCTTCCCTTCACGTACGCCAAGAGCCCCTTTGACATAAGCAGTGTGTTTGTGTGTACAACTTGACCTCTAACTTCTACCTTGAAGCCCACATCAGAAAGAGAATGGGGCCGGTTTTCTGCCTGTTGGGAGGGGGTGAATCTTTGCATCCCCTTCCCCTACTCTGGAAGATTGCTCCTAACCCCAAATTGTAGGAAGATCCTTTGTACTTGCAAATAGTGGGGGTGGGGGGTGGGGGAGGGAGGCATTTTACAGATTTTTTTTTTTTTTTTAAGAATAGACTGCAGGTCTATTCAACCCAGGTTAGTTCATTTTAATCCTAGACCAAATCTTCCCCAGAACAGTGTTAATTACATACAAATTTTATGCAAGCACTTTTCATTTTTATCATAATAAAAATGCACTCTGGAATGAATGGCTGAAGCGCACATTCACTTGTTCAGAAAGGTGTTTGGGGACTTTAACTGTGCCCCCCGCCCCCCCCCTCGCCCCCCCGCCTGACGTTTCCTTTCAGCTGGATATTTGCACATCTCATTCCATCTTAACAGAAAATACAAATTCTTTATTCACAGAGAGGGAAGTCCTTTTAAGCCAGAGGTGGGTTCAGGGTAATCAAGTTTATTCCATTTAGGAGACGTGTGAAAGGGGCGCATACAAGTCCCTGCAGAATGTGTAACTGATGCCTCTTTATCAGTTCTTAGTGTTTACTACATCCGAGGACAACTTCTCAGCCCCCTCAATGCCCAGCCCTCAGGAAAGGGAAGGAAAGGGAGAAAGACACCCTCCGGTGGAGTCAGCTTGCGTGCTATTTTTAGCCCTTTTTCGAAGGATAGTGACACATTATTTCGTTTCCAAATATTTCTAACGATTTTCTGCTCAAGTGTAAGATAATGGAGCAAAGAGTTTGTAGTAATAGCAAGGAGCAGGTGGGGGGTGGGGAAGGCGTTTTTGATAAACGGTTTGTTGCTAACGCAGAGTAACAGTATTTCTGCTGACTCTCCAGGCCGAGATTTTTTCTTTTCTTTCTCTTTTTCTTCTTCTTCTTTGTCTTTTCTTTTACTTTACTTTTCTTTCCTTTCCTTCTTTTTTCACTTCTTTTCTTTCTTTTCCTTTTCTTTCTTTCTGTCTTCCTTTCTTTTTAAGTAAGGTCTGATCCGGACGGTGCTGTTTGGCTCCCAGTGTGGAAGGCTCCGGACTCCAGTCTTCCTTCGCGTTTTGTTTTTGTTCAAAGAAAGCGCTTCCCTCCCACTGCAGGGCTGCCTGCTTCATAATAAACATGACGAAGGGGTTCAGCACTTTTTAGTATAAATAAACCGGCGACTCTCGAAGGGTATATATTTGGGCAAAGCCCTCACCGGCCCCATTCTTTTTCCTGGGGTTCCTGATTTTAGTCTTTTGCGTGGATCCTCCTGTCGGGCAGCTAGGTCCCTGTACTTATTAAGAGCATATATTTTAAGTTAAGGAGGGTACACGGGGAGCCTCGAAGTGGACGCGTCCCACCACGCGCGTCCTTCTTTTTCTCGCGTGCCTGCCCTCGCTGTCCCCTGCCCCCCGCCCGGGCCCCTTCCCCACGCGCCCGCTGCTCCTGAACTTGTTTCTGGAGTAGCGGAAGACGCGGGCTCCCGACTCTCACGCAGCTCTTCCCAAAGCCCAGGTAAGGCTGAGGGCTCCTCGGTCAGTGGCGGGTCCCCACCTGCTGCGGCGGCCTCGCGGCGTCAAAGCTGGGGTCCGGGGGAGACGCGGGCCCACCAGGGCCGCGGAGACCCTGGAGAGGGCGAGGTGCGCAGAGCCGAGTAGCGCGGAGCTGTCGCCACCGGCCCTAGAGACCTCTTCACCGACGAGGCAGGCAATTTAGAAGACGGCAGGGCGAGGGGCGGGGGGAGGGGAAACACGGGAAAAAACGGGGGTGCTTGCGAGGCCAAGGTCACGGTGCGGCCGCAGGCGGGCCCCAGGCGCGTGGCCTTTGCGCCCCAGCGCGCTGCGTGCTCGGGGCTCCCCGAGAGCTTGACCGCCCTGGGCCCGAGCTCCGCGGCCTGCGCCGACCAGGCTTGCCCGCCAGGACGCCGCCCGGCCCGGGGAGGCCGAGGTCACGGTCGCAGGCCTGGCCGGCGGCCCCTCCTCCCCAGCGCCCGGCGGCTCGGCCGGGCCCAGCCCGTTCCGGGAGCAGAGTCCCTGCCCGCGCCTCTCCGCGGCGGCGGTGGGGAGGCGGACAGAGGGGGCCGGCCACCCCCGAGGGGAGACGGTCCCAGGAGGGCTTCTGGCGCCCACAGGCCGGCCGGGGCGCACCCGGAGCCGCGTGCACCCTGGACGGGGCGCGCCCAGGGCCCTGTGAGCCTCCTGCCACTGCTCGGGCCGGGCCAGGCTCCGCCACGAGGTTTGATTTGCTGTTTGAGGCAAAGCCCCCGTGGTCAAGTGGAGCCGCCGCCGGTCAGCCGCGGGCACCCCAGCTCCCAGCAGAGCCCACGCCTGCCTCGGCCTGCCCGTCGCCCCCCGCTCCGGCGCCTGCCTCTGCCCCCTCGCCCCAACGCTTCTCCCGCCTGAGCCCCGCTTAGTCTTGCCGTCTCTGCCCCTGGCAAGTGGCAGACCACAAACCACAGCTGGGGGCGAGGGACGCGGGACGCGTTTTCCTCCAGCAGCAGCCCCACCCCCACCCCATCCAGGGCGCGCTCCTTGGAGGTGCGGAGGACCCGAGGAGCCAGCCGCCACAGGGGTGTCCCTCCGAGTCCAAGGAGGGGGTTCCCCGAAGAGGAAGGGCCTCTCCAGCTGGGACTGAGACCGGAGAGACGGGCACAGGAAGGGTTAATCATGGGCGCAGAGACGGGAGCTGGCGGCAGGGCCCCCGCGCCCCACCCCCGGAGACGCCACCGTCACTTCCACCCCACGGACCCCTCCTGGACTCTGCTTCGCAGCCTGCAGCAGGGGCACCGGAGGCCGACTCGAGCTGGGCTCTGCCCTGGCCGCCTTCCGTGACGTCCAGAGGCATACTCTGAGGAAGCGGGCCCTTTTTCAAAAAGACCAAACCTTGAGAGTTATGTAAATTTAAAAGAAAGATCAGACCCCCACCCCTAAAAATGGAATGTAAGCAAGCGTCTTGGTATTAAATCCCAGATGGAAAATCAGCAAAAATCATTTCCCCTACTTTTCCTTATTGTGTTATCACTGATGGCTGTGGAATTCTGCAGTGTGTTGTTGAGGCTGTGTGATGTGCTGCTGACTTCTGAAAGCAGCCTGACTGTGCCCCAAAGAAATTGTTTCCTGCTTTCTTATTTCTACAACATGGAGACAGCTCTCGATATCGATAGCGTAGAGACACAAGGCATGATCATAAGGGAACATTTATAAGTGCAAAGTGTTATCTACAATACGGTGGAAGTGGGTCCTTGCACAGGGCAGTTTGGGTTTATTAAGTTAAATTAAAAGTGAATTATTTTAAAATGACCCACTTACCAGCTTTCCTTCTGCCACCAGATACCCCCATCTTTTCATTTCATTACAGGTGGAAATGACATTTTTAGGGTCCTCCATTACGTGTCTAAGCCACCTCCTGACATTTTTTAGTAGACGGCTTTTTTTTTCCCTTATGTATTAGGATATTTTTGTTATGAGGTATACGGAGATGAAAAAAAGCTGGTAAAAATACCGGCCTCGCAATTAAATTGACTCTGGATACCAAAGTGAAAATAATCATCTGGTATTAATCAAGTTATGTCTCTGCTTCTTGTTGAGGAAAAATATAGTGACGATTTGCTTTCCTTTTCATCTAAAAAGGACTGTAAAATGTTGAATGTTCCATAAAAATTTCTACCCTTATGAGACAATTTTTGTTCAATTAATCAAAATGCATATTTTCACGCTGGACATAGTTACATCAGAAAGAAAATTTGCTGCGGCCGTTCTCGCAGTGTTTTAAACAACCCTGCAGTAACATGCAACAGCCAATGACCTTGCACACTGCTCAATCTTCAATAATATCATTGTCATTACTATTATTATCCGAAGTGTTATATTGTTGCCAGAATCAATACGAACCTACTTCTCTGAATATATTTTATCTCTGTTGTTTTTAACATCTTTGTTAAGAGGCCAATTAATTTCCAACTCATAGCTGCAGTGAAGTTTGCGTATAAGAGGGCTTCCTGACTTTTTTTTTTAATGGTTTATTTCTCCTTTTGAAAGAAAGAAAAGGAAAACAAATAGCATGTGAAATAAAGAACTTGATGTTTAAAGTGGTATGAAACGATTCCCAACCTGATTAAAAACCAACAACACTGAAATTCTGGTGGCAAATCCCTGTCAAGCTGATACTTGTTTCACTCCCTTTTTTTTTCCAATTGAATTTCAAGACTGATTTTTTTTTTTTTTAATTCTACCAGAATAGGATAGCTCAGTCACCCATCCACAGTCACTGGAATTAGGAATTTTTCTAAGTGGAATACCAAGGCCTTGATGAGGAAAACATCTTAATATCCTTGTTTGTGTGTGTGTTTGTTTTCTTCTAGATTTGTCGGTGTGAACGCATCTGACATCAACTATTCCGCTGGCCGGTACGACCCTTCGATGAAGACTCCCTTCGATGTAGGTTTCGAAGGCGTGGGAGAGGTGGTGGCCTTAGGCCTCTCCGCCAGTGCCCGGTACACAGTGGGCCAGGCTGTGGCTTACATGGCACCTGGCTCTTTCGCCGAGTACACAGTGGTGCCTGCCAGAGCCGCGGCACCGGTGGCCTCTGTGAAGCCCGAGTATGTCACCCTGCCTGTGAGCGGTGCGACCGCGTACATCAGCCTGAAGGAGCTCGGAGGACTGTCGGAAGGGAAAAAAGTTTTGGTGACCGCGGCGGCGGGGGGCACAGGCCAGTTCGCCGTGCAACTGGCCAAGAAGGCCAAGTGCCACGTCATTGGGACCTGCTCTTCCGATAAAAAGTCCGCTTTTCTGAAATCGATTGGCTGTGATCGCCCCATCAACTATAACTCGGAGCACGTGGGCACGGTCCTAAAGCGGGAGTACCCCGACGGTGTCGATGTGGTGTACGAATCTGTGGGGGGAGCTATGTTTGATTTGGCTGTCGATGCCTTGGCCACCAAAGGGCGCTTGATAGTAATTGGGTTTGTCTCTGGCTACCAGACGCCTACTGGCCTCGCGCCCGTGAAGGCAGGAACCTTACCAGCCAAACTGCTGAAGAAATCCGCCAGAGTGCAGGGCTTCTTCTTGAACCATTACCTTTCTAAGTATCAAGTGGCCATGGACCACTTGATTAAGATGTGTGAGGGCGGAGACCTGGTGTGCGAGGTGGACCTCGGAGATCCGTCTGCAGAGGGCAGGTTTATCGGCCTGGAGTCCGCATTCCGGGCCATCGACTATATGTACCTGGGAAAAAACACTGGAAAAATTGTACTTGAGCTACCTCCCCCAGTCAACAGTAAGCTGTAAGCTCAGAACAATGACAGAAATCAAGAGAAAGGAAATGGGCACCTTCTTCCTCAGAAATATTCAAATCAGTTTTATTTTTAGTGGGTAATGGATATCATCGTTCTAAAAAGTAAGGTGTTAATGAATAGGTTTCTCTTTCTTCTCTCTTTTTTTTTTTGTTTGCCCCTCCCTTGAAAAACAGTGCTAATAAAAACTTCCCTCGATGGCTCAGAGGTAAAACCGTTACATTCAATTCTTTGGCCACAGACCGTCTCATTCCAGACTTTATTGTTCCAGGGAATTAAATTAATTCCTGATGCAAGATCTGATCAAATCAGTATGTCTTCAGCTTGATGAGATTTTAAAATTGGTCATGAAAATAGTTCACAAATTCTTTACTTTGGGAGAGTTCGGTCTTCCGCTAACGAGCAGTTAATAGATAAGAAATACAGTGGAAAGGCAGCCATCTATTTTCAGAGTCCATATTCCCAGGAAATGGCCCTTCCTTTCCTATAAATCACCAACTATCTAAATAGGAATTTGGAGGAATTCTCCCAAAACTTTGATTTTTTCTTTTTAGATCATTAAGAAAATGACTAAGTGAACACAGACCTATTTTTTTAGACTCTGCTATTTAATGCTTTACGCACAATTATCCTGGGGAGGCATGTGTGGAATGGGAGGTCTCTCTCTTCCCTTAAGCAGCAAATTAGTGTTGAAAACTGATAAAGACAAAAGCAGATTTTGGAAAGGGGCTCTACAGAGATCTGGGGGGTGCCTGCAAGGGAAGGAAAGGATGGGCCTTCCATCCAAGGGGGGGGGGGGGGGGGAGCTGCACAACCAAACACCCACCGCAAGGGGAGAAGCACTCTTTAGGCACACCGCCTACGGTTGAGAACAGCATCCTTCCCAAGCCTGAGGTGGGAGAGGTGGGGTCCGTCAAAGGACACCATGCGGAGGAGGGGCTGATGGGATCGGGAATAATAAGACTTTTTTGGACACCGTGTGTTTTCTCTTTGATCACGGAAACAGAATAGCGTGTGTAGCACGGAACGCCGTCCTCTGTTCCCATTTTACTTTTCTGTGCGTTCGTCCTGTGGGGATGCGACGCCCCTGAGCCCCACTGCCTGGGGCCACATGTGAGAGTACCTTCCTGTGCCTTCCCTCGGGAACTATGCCTACCTCCGATCTGCCTGCCTCCTCACCTTCCCTTCACTGAGGAACGCCCCAGCTTCCACGGTCCCGTTGGAAATCACGTAGTGCCTTTCTAATTGAAGGCAAAGCCCACCAGATTATTTTTCAAGGCCTCGGGTTTCAGTTTATCTAACATGCTAAATAAATATGAACGCAATTAAAGATGCCCCGGGAAGCTCGGTGACCATATTTAATTTTTCTTTCCTCCCATCTGAGGGGGCAAGGAAATCCTAGTGCTGAATAGCTGTTAGTATCTCTTTTACAAGATTTACTCATTTCAGGTACCTAATGTAGCTGCTCGCATGCATGCACAACAATACAATTTATATGGTAAATGGGACCAAATAATGGCTTCACTGAATGTTATGGCTGCACTGAAGGGGAATGTCACGGTAAATAGCTGCCAAATTATGGATCATGCCGAAGTGTCACAACTGCACTAAAGACAAATAGCACCAGAGGCTACTGCCACTGTGACGCTTTTGAGTTATGAAGAAGGGGAGAAGCCTGATGCAAGCTTCTTTGTGTCCTCATTATAGCAAGGGGTGACTAGTGCAGGGTACAAGAAAGGCTGGCCCAACGTGGTGCTCGGTTATTAATCTGTCCCTTTCAGACCTAGCAGCGATGGCCAAACGGAAGGAGGCCTCACCTCGCTTTTAGATACACAAACAAACACAAGAGGGGACAGGTTTTATGAATGTATCTGCACGGGAAATGACTGGTAATGGGAAAACACTGCGATCAAATCATCCCATCAAAGACCAGCATCACGTTTAACATGGTCCAAGTTGCTCCCCATGCAGACAGATGTGCGAAATCCAAGCCATAATGTACTTTCTTCCTTTGTCGAGACTTGAGGAGCAAGGACGCTGCCTGTTCTATTGCTTCCTAGAAACCGACGGGCGTCCCGGTTTCTTTCATTTTAATGGGAGGGTAATAAAGATGAAAGACCAGCGTTTTAACTGATGGATCCCTGAAGCTACAGAATAGAAATTTATTATGTTTTGAAGGAATATACTAAATTCAGCTATGTAAAAAAATAATAATAATTTTTTTTCAAACACCCAGGTTCAAAATAAAATATAATCTGAAAACCTCATGTTCTCTTCTCCCCAAACTAAGAAACTACAGGGCATGCTGTTTTCATTTATTCTTAGAAAACAAGCATGAAAGATTCCGCCTGTTCAGATAATGCCAAAAATATGTTTAAACTTTTTTTTCTTACTCTTCTGAAAAATGATTTGTAAATTGAGGGTCATAGTTCAGTATCAGTTTCATCTTCTGGGATTATCGTTCAAGACCAGCGTCTAATGGGAGGTGAAACAGTGTGATGTTCTCAACACCTTTCTCCTGAACTGTATTACAGATCACAGAAAGTACATCCATAATTCAGGGCGATTGTCAGTCTTTGTTTTAGCGACAGGGCCGGGGCCGGATGATCATGGTGGATGAATTACTTCTCGGTTCTCAGGGTGGCCTTCTCTGCACATCAGCCTTGAGGTCTCTGCATGGGCAGATGGAGTGGTTGACCGGTAAGTATGCCTAGGAGCCATTCTTTGCCATTTCCATTGTGACTTCTAAAAACCCGAATGCTGTCCCTTCAAATTTGTTTTCAATGCAAAGGAAAAAAAAAAAAAAAAAACCCAACATCGTTATTCGGGCCTCCTGACAGAGAGTTCTGCGATTGAACGATGTCAGCATTCAAAAAAGAAAAAAAATAATAAAAATTTAAAATTTAAAAAAGCCCCAGGAACCGGGAATAGTTCACAAAGAAACGACACAGAAGTTTTGCTCGAGATGCTCTATGCATTGTTATCATATGACTTCATCCGAATGGAGTTTCTCAGGGGTAGGATGGAGCCTCTATAAATGGCCATTAGTAATACATTCAGTATTTATCTAATGAAAGTGCAATGACAGGTAGCTGCTGCTTATTAAAATGAAAATCCTACAGTATGTACTTAAGGAACATTCCAGTTAATGAGGATGTAATGTCCTCGGTACAACACAGACCTTCTTTTTGTGTTCACCACAAGATGCTGGAAACTTGACAAATGATGTCATTTAAGACACATGCCTGCCGTAGGGACCTGCTTTTCGGCTTCCTGTTTCTGGCTTTTATTTGGGTAACATTTATAATGGCCACCCGACTTGCAACGGGCAATGTTTTAACCCCTTCATGGAGCTCCCAATTAGCATGGACTTACTACAATCGGGGTTTCCTTTCAAATGGGGCAGGGGGAGTTTAGGACTGAGAATATTCTTCTTGATCACTTTACCACATGTACATATGGGATAAATGCCATATTTTAGATTCATATAAAAACAGACGAACCATGGGCAAGTTTCAGGAAAAACATGACAGCAAAAGGCCAAGCACGATCAACTGTGGGCGATGCTTTCCTAGGGGTTACCATACACTTTTTAGGAATGTAACCCAGATGTGAAATGGCCTGCCCTGGTCTGATAGGTTCCTACTCACGGTTCTTGCTCCTCCTGCGTCTCCTCTGGTTTTGAATACCGTTTGTTATTTATAGCACGTATTTAGAGATGTGAAATGTATCTTCGCAGACATTGTTTTAGGGTTTGGGATTTGATGGGGTTTTTGTGAAAGTTAGATGTTCTGTAACTGATGTTTTAGTTATGGCCCAGAATTACATATTTAGGATCCTGTTTCAGAAATCAAATGTGAAGTGCTGGGTTCTCGATACCATGGATGTGGGCACATTAATCTTTAAATTCTGTTGCTTACTACATCTTTAGCCTTCCTGTTATTTCAGCTTATAAAAAGAGGAGTGTTTGATACCAGAACCTTATTGCTGTTACCATGAGCAAATAATGGGACGCTGCCCCCTCCCCCAAAAAAAGTGCCATACAAAATACGTAAAGAATATTTTTGCCCACATGTATCAGCCCAAGTAATTCTTGATAGTAGAGAGTTGATATTCAAAGAAAGTCAAATAAGGCGTGTGTGTGAGGTCCGTACGTGGTTCCTTCACTAGATGGGAGTGCTGATGAGCCGTGACAGTCAGACCAAGCTGGTGTAAGTACCGTCTCCTCACGTCTATTCCCGCTGCCTCGGTTTCTGCCAGCGTGGACTTGCCCTTCAGTGCTCGCTGATGCCTCTCCAGTGGCACTGACACTCCCGGGAAGCGTGTCGTGGATCCCTCAAGTGTGAGGGTAAGTGCTGCATGGAGTACAGTTTGGGGGAGCCAATATGTGCCTCATATGTCCCGGGAAGCATGGAGCCAGAAGTGCAGAGATTTCAACAGCCCCCCAAAGTACGAGTTTCCCTGGAAGGACACTATCTCACAGTGACTTTCTGCCAACACGAAATTAAAATAATAATTAAAACACACCCTGCTGACTGACGGTAGCATCCAATACGAAAGACGGATTTGTGCTTAGAGCTCAGAAGACTGTTCCTAAAATTATTGGCTACGGCCCAGCCTTATCCTCTCCACAAAAGGGTGAAGCTGTATTTTAGGGCTGCAGTGAGCAGATTCCTTGGTCGGAGAAGATGTAGAACCGTGTTCGGGGAAGGGAGGGTGTCCTCCTTAGAAGAGCCTGTCTTGTTCTCTATGTGTCTGTGTGCCTGTACTTGTGGGGTTGGCCGCAGGCACAGAGCTGGATGGAGCCTAGGACCCCTTCTGCCCCTCATAAATGAGAAGACTCAGTTGTCCCTTAAATGGTAAAATTTGGCTGGGGCGCCTGAGTGGCTCAGTCGGTTAAGTGTCCAACTTCGGTTCAGGTCATGATTTCAAGGTTCGTGGATTCAAGCCCCACTGCAGGCTCTGTGCTGACAGATTGGAGCCTGGAGCCTGCTTCGGAATCTGTGTCTCCCTCTCTCTCTCTGCCCCTCACCTGCTTGTACTCTCTCTCAAAAATAAATAAGCATTTAAAAAAAATAGTAAAATTTAGGAGTTAAGAACAATCTAGTTCTTTTTACCCCTTTGTATAAATGAAGAAACCAAGACCCAGGAAGAATAGGCGCCTTGTCTGGGGCCACAGAGGTCACTGGGCTCTGAAACGAAACTAGGGCTTAAGCAGGTGCCTTCT